GGGCGTGGGTGAGGGGCCGGGCGAGCGACCCGGGGCTCTTCAGGCTACCCCTGCGCCTGGGGCGTGGGGCCGCGCGTGGCCTGCCCCGGGCCAGGGCTCAGGCCAGGGGCTGCCCCCTGGGCAGCACCATCCCCACCAGAGAGGCCCTCTCGGACCCAGGGCTTGGGGGCCTCGGGGAGGCTGGGACCCCGTGGCTTCCTTTCTGTCCCACTTCTGAGCTCGCCAAATCCGACAAGAGTCAGGCGCAGGACTGCGGCTGCCAGAGCCCTGCGGCGCCCGGCGGGCGGGGTGCAGTCGCTTCTCTGAGCCGCCAGCTCTGGCGCAGGGGGCTCCCGGCCGGCCCCCTCCGGGCAGCTGTACCCCTGCCAGGCTCTGGGGAAGGGGCCGGCGCCCGGCGGGTGTGGCCGCCAGGGGGCAGCGTGCACCCACGGATGGAGCCGGGCGCCTTCCGGGCTCTGCCCCGCTCCGCTGTCTCCCCACCCAGCCCAGGGGCCTCACTCCAGACCAGAAACTGCCGAGACTGGGGGTGCACCCTGGCAGGGCTGGCGTGGGGGCCCCTGTCCTTTCCTCTTCTAGAAAATGTCAACTGACCCTGCCCTGGCTGGTGCCGGTGGGTGGGGGTGAGGGGCTAGCTCTTCACACGCCAGCCCAGGTTTTTGTGGCTGCCGGGGGGGCAGTTTCTCACCCCAGCACTGCCAGGGGTGCACAGAGAACACTGCCGGGCCGGCAGGCCGGGGCCTAGGCTGGTCGGCACCCGGCTCGGCCACCTGGAAGCTCTGCTGGCCCCCGGCCTGACCGGCCAGGGTGGGAGGAGGGCGAGCGGCCGGAGGAAGCGGGGGCACTTCCGACGTTTGGGGCCCTAACGTGCCTCCTGCCCGGGTGCGGTCTTCCTGCCCTGCTGGGGGCTCTGTGGCTTCATGGCAGCGGCGGGCAAACGTGGGTGGCTGCGGGCACCCGCCCCCGCCCTGGGGGCTCCTGGCTCCCGTCCAGGCGGTCCAGGCGGGGCAGCAGTGCTCAGCGGCCCTTTTATTCCTCTGCTCCGAGCCGGGGCCGGGATGGTGGCTGGGGGTGGGGTGGGGTTGCTG